GCTCGACCACGGGCCATGGGGCTCGAACGGACCGAGATATGCTCATGTATTTTTTATCCTGATTAGACATCTCATTCTTCATGAGCCCTGGGTGGTTGTCAAAATCAAATGTGGGTCATTCTAACCAAGGTAAGCAGGTTAAAACCGATCAAACTCGAGTTTTTGACTCTGCAGCTTCCATCTCTTATCTATTCTCACCTCCATGTTGACAATCATCGGCCATTGACGTTGTCATTGAAAGCTGACCACCATCAACCATTGATGTTCTGATGAACAATGCCACAGAAGCTGGAATTAGGAAACTAATAGTTTTGAGTAAATATTTGTAAATCTGATCTTTAATTTGTCCCTCTCAACCTCTCTTTTCCCTCTTCTTGTAACTGTCACTGCCTCCACCTCAGGTTGATGCATTACTGCTACCACCTGCAGCTGCTACTGTTCGATGTTCTCCCATTCTCCTGCTCCTACTACTATAGTTTTGCTGAACACTAACAGTCAAACTGAAAGTAAAAATAAAAAATATAAAAAATGTTGCTTGCCCCATTTGTTAAATTCTATAAATACATTGCAAAGTTGCTGCAATCATTTTCTTCGTCTCCTAGATAACTAATTCTACCTCTTCTCATTTTAAAAAATATGCAAAAAGAGTGCCTAGATGACGCCCAGGTTTATAGGTTTTCTGCAGTGTCCAGAAGCACCCAGTATTAAAACTGAGGTTATCTTTGAGATCCTCAGAGAAACTAGAGAAATTAATCGAAAATAAATTCTTAAAGGTGTATATGACAAAACTAATTTTGTGAGTATAAATGCATATATAGAAACATAGTTGAGAATTATATATATATGCAAAAGAGAACTTCAGGGTTACTCCTCTGAAAATGGATAGATTCGTTGGGAAAGGATTAATATTCATTACATGGGCCCCCAAAACTTCGATAACAGTTCAGGAGTTGGGGGTGTAAGTGATGAATTGCTGAGACTTTTTTCCCTCAGCGATTGTGCCCAAACTGCATGCCTAGTAGAAGAGATTCTTTCACTGAGAGATCTAAGTGACTGACCGGTCTCATCCCTATAAGAGTCAACATGAACCAAATCCAATTACCACCTCGCAGAATTAGATCAAGTTTCCTTTAAAATGCACCATGACCTGGTGATAGAAAGAAGTCTGAACCCATGCCTACATGCAAAGTAATCACAGGATCCATCTGCAAGTACATAGATCACATACACTGCGCACTTAATGTAGTATAAATGGACGAGAACAATGGTTCTAGCACTATACAGAGTTGGGTCTCGGAGTCTGTAACTTGAGAAGATTATATAGCCAATGAAAAGATACAGAAGTCATGAACGTAAGCCTTTTTCTGGGGTGAATACCAAAATATTTTCCAATATATATACCATATAGAGTTCCCTCGTATGGAAATAATCAGCTTCAGACATAGCAAGTTTTGAATATGAAAATCATTGAAATGTATAAATACCCTGTATGGAAGCATTTATGGTAATAGTTGTAGAAACCTAGCAAATATTCTGTTTACCCAAAAAAAACCTGAAACTAATCAGGTAAAGCTGGTAAAACGTACCTGTAATACTTCCAACAGACACTTTATTGACTTTCTGTGAGAAAAATGGTGGTGGCTGCTTTGAAGTAGTTGCTTTTCTTCCATGCCTCCAATATATTGAGTTGTTTGACTGGTTAACCTGGTTCTTCTCAACCATCTGATCTTCTGAAGTTGCATGAGGCTCTCTGGCAGCAGAATTTGACTTGAAATGCTGAATCCAAGGACCTGCTGGAAGCTTTTGGGATTCGTTCTCATACCGGGTGTCAGCCCTTTCAGATTTAAGTTTCCCCCAGCAGCCCCTACGTAGAACCTTAAACTGCAAATTCAGATTTCTTGCATTAAGAAATTAGAAAAGGTTTTATTAAGTGCAACAAATTTCTTTATAATCAAGTCACAATACCTGACCAAATGACTGGTTTTTGAGATTGGAAGATTCAGAACAAGATGAAGTTCTGTGTATTTGAGTTCTTGAAGATGAACCAAGCAGATCATTTGAGCTATATTCACTGTTGTACAACTGCTTCACAAATGATGCTTCTATGGAATCAAGATAGAGCCTGTGTTTCTCGTCTGTCCATTTGGTGGCCATAGAACCTATCACCTGCGATATTTGACAGAGGTAGTTTGTGAGAAGATGTCAAGAGAAATCTTGATGCACAACTGAGCATACTAATTGGCAAGACTAAACTAGGAAGAATTCTCAATGATATTAGAGGAGCTTAACCTATGGAAAATTGCAGAGACTTTTGAAATTAATAAAACATAAGTACTTTAAAAAGACTGGCAAAAACATTTCAGCTTGTTTATTGTAATGACAGCATATGACATCATTACATGTGAACTAAAATCAGAAGAAAAGATCCGAATATTGCAAATTTTGATGATACTGGAGATAAGAAAAAGAAACTACTTCTGGAGGGAAATACGCGAAACATATATGCATTACGCAATATCAGTGTGATCTAGATCAACAACTTCTTGCCTGTTTCTATGTGCAGACAAGCACCATTCTACAGTGATGAAAAAAAATTAAATTCCCATGAAATACTGGAAAAGATATGTATACAGAAAACACTAGTTCAACATAAGCTTCTGGGAGAGGAAGTACAGTATGGTCATTTCACATCCATCCATTGACTACATGCAAGGGGGATGATGATCTAAAACACTAGTTCAGCTAAGATTCCATGGGTGTTTGGCAACCAGAGGTCCAGAAAGAAACATGTAAGTATAAAATGAAGAGAGAAAAGTTTCTCTCAACAAACTACTTTCTCATAACTTTCTATTTGCACATCTTGTTTCGATGACTGAAAGATGAAAAGTAGAAATGGCAGTTGATGTGGCATCACTTCTTTATATGTGCCGTTTGGTTGCTGTGGAAAGTGGCTAGTAAACAGTGAAAAGGGTGAGGAGACAAAATAAAATGTTAAATTCTTTCTCCTCTCAGTTCACTTTCCATCCAATTTCTCCGGATTTTTGAGAAATTGGAAGGATTTAAAAATTCTTTATATGTACCATTTGGTTGCTGTGGAAAGTGGCTAGTAAACAGTGAAAAGGGTGAGGAGAGAAAATAAAATATTAAGTTCTTTCTCCCCTCAGTTCACTTTCCATCCAATTTCTCCAAATTTTTGAGAAATTGGAAGGAGTTAAAAATTCCATGCGGCACCCTCCACTTTGCATTTACTTGTCCTCACTTTCCAATTTCTAACTGGCAGACAGAAAAAAGAAAGTTGGCCACTTTCCAACTTTTTACCCCCTTTCCGTTTACTTTTTGGCTACCAAACAAGCCCTCACGAAAAGAAACATAACATATTAACAACCACAAAACAGTAACAGTAAATTTTTATGAAAATGACTATAATCAAAACTAAAAAATAAAATTATCGCTCAAACTTTCATGCTAGTTAGCTCACACCACTGGTGCACCTCAAGTGAAGTTAAAGAAATCATTATATCATACGCCAATCCACACAAAACAGTAAAGAACAAGAAGCAAGGAAGAATTTTTTTTTTTTTGCTTTCATCAAAAGCTGATATCACCTGTAAATGAACATTGAAATTTACTCTCTCAAAAACTGAACACTGATAACTACCTTATTTTGTCAGTTTCTTAGTTTATCACGAAGAAATTCTTAACACCAATATTTCTGGGTACAAATACATTATCTTAATTTCCTAATTTATATGTTATGCCTTTAGGTCTTCCAAGTTACATACTAGACCTTCCGGTACATCTCATTTGCTTGACACATTTATTACCTTTATTTTCGGTTACTATTCTCCAATAGCGCTGTTTACTTCATTGAGTTCATTCCAGCTCAATCTTTAGGTGCGCTTCTTTGGTTACAAGTTTTTTATTCTTGTAGAAATATAAATTTAGTAATTATTCATATTCAGCTGCACTTTTATGCTAGTTGTATACTCAATGTAATAAGTTTTTGTTTTTAAATGTAGTCTACCGCGCATCCCAACTCCACACCCCCACCCCCAACCCCCGTCCCAAAAAAAAAAAAAACGCGGCGCAAGCTACACCAAAATATCTAAAAATAAAAAAGGAACCCCCCAACCCCACAAAAAAAAAAACAGGTAGGGAATAAAATTGGAAAGTCACCTTATATACTGTTAAACCTGAGATTCTATGTCTGTTGAAGTTTACCTAAAATTTGAGTTTCTATATCTATTGACGAAGTTATACAAAGGCTAAATTGCACTTAAATACCCTATAATTTCACCTAAGTTACACTTAAATGCCCCCAGTTGTAAACGCATGCACTTAGATACCCAAAAGTTTCTAAGTATTGCACAGAAATACCCTAAAATTTCAAAATGTTGCATGTTGACGTCCTCTGTTAGTGATCTGTTAGAATATTTGTGCAGTATTACCAAGTGACCTGTCATGTATCTAATTTTCAACTAAACCACCCTTATGCTATATTACCCCTTTTCATCTAATTTTCACCCAACCTCACATACTCTCTTCTAATGCACTAATTTCTTTGAAAATCCAACTTAATTTGCATAATCCAATAAAATTTGCAAAGAGTTTGAGAGTGATCACCTTAGAGATGAAACCCCTATGCTAATTTACCTTAGAGTTTGAGGGTACTTTACCTCAATAGCGGGGAACATTTTCTTTTAAGGAAAACTATATCAACGTCAAGTTTTTTACTTTTCTAATGGAAAATACTTACGGGTATCTAACTGCAGGGTTTCGCAACTGGGGGCATTCAAGTGCAACTTAGGTGAAGCTATAGGGTATTTACGTACAATGTAGTATCCGGCAAGGGTCCTGTCCGTATTTGTATAGTATCATATCCATCTCATGTATCCATATGATTGCAAGTTGCAACATAGTATACCACGTATTTAACTCTCTTACATAGCATTAACTTACTGCATAACTGAAAATGGTACATTAGGTGGTAGGATTTTATAATTTTGCTTTAAAAAGTACATGTATATGGCCTTATTTTCCAACAAGTAAACTTCTAGCCATTATCAAGATGTTCCTTTCAAACATGCCATCCAATACTACGATGTTATCTTGTCATCTAGTGATTTCATAGGTGTCTAGCCATCCATCACATTGGTAATATTTTTTCCGTCTTCCCATGTTGGGATATCCAGGATAACTGGGAACTGTTCAGAAATTTGTCTAAAACAAAAGGCCAGTGTTCTGAGAATCAGAATCAACATGCAATTTGCCAAATTGATTCTTGCTATCTGATTGGATGATCAGGTTGAAGCCTTGAAGGTTTGTTGTGTCAAGTGAATTGTTCATCTCATTACTTCTGTAAAGACTATCAGCAGTTCATTTGAACAACTCCTGAAGAGAAGTTACATCAGTGAATTTTTTTTTCTTTTTGACTTATGCATCGATATAATTTGGCTCCTCAAAAAACATCCTCACGACTAACCAGGAGCTGGAAACTGCTCAGTTTACATGAAAGCTAATCATCAAAATCGCATTCATAAATGTGTTTATAAAGAGCCGTTTTAAAGGCAGAGGAACTGCCCATGATAAAGCTGGCCATTTAAATAATTCCCCCAAAAAAGCTGCTTTCTAAAAGCATGCTCACATATTACAACTAGTAGACATGCAAGGAAAGGAATTGATCAACTTTTATTATATAAATGAATGGGTTCAGTGTCATTCGAAGACCACATTTTATCCATCAAAGATAATATCATGAAAGAATGTCATCCATGGATAAAAAGAAGCAAATAAATTCCATAAAAAAATAATATTGACGGTTGTAGCCTAGGTTCATGTACTAAATATTTGTCCTCAACGTGGTTCATATCACATGGAAAAAAGGGTGCGTTGCATAGCACATGAAACATTGCTGATTCACTGTTCATCTGGCATGTACTGATGAGGGTGACTAAAGGTTACTTCTCCATATCTGGAAAGGAAGGCATAGGCAAATGCACGACTGAAACTTAACAAACATATAAACCCAGGGGTATAATAGAGGCGATGTGAACAGGAAATAAACTAGAAACCAGCAACAGCTAATTTCTATGACATGATATACAGTAAGCAGGGAAAAGAACAGCAGAAACCAAGCAGTTCCTCACAATATATACTCGATAAAACACGATGCAAGTATGGATTTGTTTACTTCCCTACATGTAGGATCCTCTACAGTCAAAAAACTCAGACTCATAAACTGTGCCAGTAGAACCGACATGACAATTACTATTTATATTAGGGCAACACAAAAAAAAAGAGATTATTTTCCTAAAATCAACGAGTTAAAACCACGGATATAAGGTTTGGCCCGGCGCAAAACATCTTAAGCCTTCATCTCGATGACTCGGTGCAGATCTCAGTCACGCAATTCATTTTGATACATCACGAAAAGCACAAAACCTCCGACGTGTAATATCGTCTAAGAAAAACCTTTCAGATTATGATCAGATCAGCATCCTTTCAAGAAAATACAATTAATCAGCGTAGTTAACCATTATCGATACAAGGAGAGCTTCCTAATTTCAGGCAACAATAATTTCTCTAACAATTTCCTGCAGGCCTCCTTTTATAGAGTAATATTTTATATTCCACATTACACATTTACACGGGATGACAAATCAAAACCTAAGAACAGAATTAAAAATAAAAGAACCAGTAAAAAAAGCACCAAGTTCCACAGAAAATTAAATCAACAAATTAACTAATCTCAAGGAAAATCACCTTTGCTCAAAAAATCTCAGAAAATTATCGGCCAAGATCGATCGATCCAGTAGATTACTGCAAGCAGATATCAAAGAAACAAATTTGTTTATATTTTCCGATGCTCTTTCTCTCTCTAACCCCAACTCTCTCTCTCTCTCTCTCTCTCTCCCTCTCTCTCCCTCTCTAGAATTGGAAGGAAAAGGCCAAAAGGGCGAAGGAGAAGGGGATGTTGGGACCGAACGCTATCAATCGTGGCAGCGCTTTTACACGTGGCACTACATTCGGTCGAGCGACACGTGGCCTTACAGCGATGCGCAGATATTTTTGAGGAGGGGGAAAATATCTGTGGCTCTGGTGACGTCTGAGTCGGGTCGGAAACGTAGTTTTGGATCCGAACCGTTTCATGTTTTCGGGTCGGGTCGCATTAACTCTTTAAGGCCAGTGGTCAGCTTTCTGGATTGTGCCGCTTTCGGATTGGATAGAGTTGAAGAATATCAACTACTTTATTTATGCGGAGAAAGATCTTGCAGAGATAATCTTGTCTACATCTGCGAAGGACGTATTATATCTATACCCTTTAAACTTTTGGACATTAAAATAAATAAATGCTTCACTACACTTAACATCCTATAGTTTCTCCTGCTTTGCATTTGTATACCCTCATTTATTTTTCTAATTTTGCACTATTATACTCCTAGTCATGCAAACATGACAAATTCCCCCGTAAACATGACAAATTCCCCCGTAAAATTCTCATGTGACTCTCATATGCTAATTCTAGAGCTTTTTAACTTTAAACTATTGTTAAACTATCAAAATTATATTTTAAAAAGAATTATGTTATGTTTAAAATAGAGTCACGGTTGCTTTAACAGTAAATTTAACAAAAAATTAGGGGTTAAATATTCTACAATTAGTATGCGAATGTCGTTGAATAATTTTCATGAGAAATTCTGAAATTTGCATAACCGAGGGTAATTGAGTGGAAATTTTAAATTTTTTAGGGTAATAAGTGCTGCCAAAAAAATGAGGGCATATAAGGGCAAAGGAGGAGAAGCTACATGATATTTAAGTGTAATTTGTTAGATCAAGAAAAGATAAACTTTTGCTTTAATAGATAAAACTCTAATCAATCCCAAGATTGTTCATGTCAAACTATTGAGATAATTAGATGATGCAGAACAATACCTGAATCCATGGAGTATGATGTGATTCTTGAGTTTTTTGAAATGTACATCTTTCAAATCTTGTACGTATATATCCTCCTTAAAGAAACCCTAATCCTTCTGAAGATGGGAAATCAGAAAGAGATTTTATGTAGAGCTTTGGGGAACCACAACCCTATTTATAACTGAATCAGTTATTCATAATTATCAATTCAAGTCATCATAGAATTAACAATTATATTTTGATCTCTACATATAGGAGGCTCATACTTTAATTATGCATAAAATTACAAACCCTAAATTAGATCACTTTAATTGGCTAACCTTAATTAATAGCACATAATACATATCTATTTAATATATTTGCCCATTTGTTAGATTTAAATCCAACAATCTCCCACTTGGGCCATATATGTTACTATATAAATATGAATTATGATATATCATTATGAGCTCAAGAATTTTACTATCAAACAATATGCATCTTTATCAATCTCGTCTATTTGTTATATTAACATAGGATCAAAGCGATCTTTATTGCATTTATCGCAACTAGACCCATCAATGGTCACATATATCAATACAACCAATAGCATAGATCAAATATGGATGTGTATGGATGTGTAGCATGAAAATTTCATGTAGTGTGATCTTAACATGCCTATTTCCAACTAGTCCACCTTAAAACCTCAGTGAGATCAAACCATACCAAAAATTAGAGTGAATATGAACTGAAAACTTTATACTGCAGTAAATAACCATATAATATCCATAAAATCATAACAAATGTGTCTATAAGTAAAAGCATCTAAAATATAAACTCCACTAAAATGACATATCCTGAAGAAATAAAACACCCATATGAGCAGTGTGCTCATGAAAGACTTTGGGTGGTAATCCCTTAGTTAACAGATCCGCAATCATGGAGTTTGTCTCAATATGCTCTATAGACACAAGTCCACTCTGAACTCTTTCTTTAACAACTAGGAACTTGACGTCTATATGTTTCGACTTTGTCGAGCTCCTGTTGTTGTTGGAATACAACACTGTTGACTTTTTGTCATAAAATAATTTAAGTGGCCTTTCAATGCCATCCACAATTCGTAGCCCAGTGATAAAATTTTGTAGCCGTATTCCATGATTAGATGCCTCAAAACATGCTACAAACTCAATTGTCATAGTGGATAAAGCTATGAGTGTCTGCTTAGCGCTCTTTCAAGAGATAGCTCCTCCGGCAAGCAGGTAGATATAGCTTGAAGTAGATTTCATTCTATCTTAGCATCTAGCAAAATCGGAGCTAGAATACCCAATGATCTCTAACTAGTCCGACCTCCGATATGTGAGCATGTATTCTTTTGTCCTCTGTAAATACCTCAAGACTCGCTTGGTTATTTTCTAGTGATCCAATCCAGGATTACTTAAGTATATGCCCCATATTCCAACTACGTACGTAATATCCAGACACGTACACACTTGAGCATACATTAGACTCCCTACTGATGACACATAAGGAATTTGCTGCATCTCCTTAATCTCAAAATCATTCTTAGGGCATTGATTGAGACTGAATTTATCTCCCTTAGCCATAGAGTTGTCGTCTGGTTTACAATTTTACATGCCAAACCTTTTAAGAACTTTCTCGATATAGCTCTTTTGTGATAACCCAAATATACTCTGGGAGCAATCCCAATGTATATGTATGCCCAATACAAAAGAGGCATTCCCAAGATCTTTCATCTTAAATTTCTTTGAGAGAAATCTCTTGTTTCATGCAATAAGCTTATATCTTTGCTGTCAAGTAATATGTCATCGACATATAAAATCAGGAAAATATATTACTCCTGCAGAACTTGTGGTATACACAATCATCGACTACATTCATCTTAAAACCGAATGAGATGATATAAAATTTCTACAGAACTTGTGGTATACACAATCATCGAATACATTCATCGACATATAAAATTTCTGTCTCATTCCACTTCACATGGGAAGTACATATTTAGATACCATAAAATGGTTGAATAATGACTCATTCTTAATTTGATAATTGTTATAATTCCATATGAAATATTTTATATTCAAGAATGAATAAGAGGACCGGAATTATGAGAATAATTCATATGCATAAATTTAAATTTAGAAAGTCTCTTTTGTAGGTAACCAATTTAAATTTGGAAGGTCTCTTTTGTAGGCAAGCAATTTAAATTTGGAAGGTCTCATTTGTAGGCAATAATTTGCAACCCCTTATAATACGGGAATTTAAAATGTATGCATATGAAGTATGAAATATACTTTAAGATATAAAATTATATTATAAGGTTCTCTTGAATTCTTTGCATGTATCTATTAGTAATTTTATTCATGTATGTGCATATGCATGCATGTAAAGATATAACTGTAGTATTTTAGTTCCACATTAGTTTGAAATGTTCAGATATTAAGGGCAAATTCTAACCCTATGCAATTATATCTTCAGACATAGACTACGATCATTTATGATCATAGACCATGATCTTTTATGCTAACATGTTTTAATGTCCTAACATTTTAATAGTGACTAGAAAGATTAATTTTTATAGCTCTTTACATGTATAATGTTTTCTCTTGAGATTTTAGGAAATGATTAGAGTTGATATAAATATGCTCTGTCAACTAGTATGCTTAGTTACAGGAGATGTGATGAATTAGTGTCCTGGAAAATCAAATCAAGAGGTATGTCTTATAACTTCTATCTATATGATGAATAAAAGTTATATTAAAATTAGTCCATCAAATAATTAAATTGCTATTAGGTTCCCTTATCCTTATAAGGAAAGATTGATTTGAAAAATAACTTAAACAAGAAGTGCTATTAGGTTCCCTTATCCTTATAAGGAAAGATTGATTTGAAAAATAACTTAAACAAGAAGGGGACCTCTTGTCAAACAATATGAAGGACTAATTATAAAATAACTTGATAAACTCTGTATAATGCCTGCTAGACAAAAGTTGTGATCTTAGAATTTGTAAAGTCTGAGAAGAATGTTACTGACCCTTTGACTAAGGGTTTATCCAGGAGTGTGGTTCTAGATTCATTAAGGGAGATGGGGTTAAGCCCATAAGTGAGGTCACTGACAGTGGTCACCCAACCTTTATTTGGAGACTTAGTCCTAATGTAGGTTCAATGTGATAGAAACAAGCTGGACTAGTGACATTCATGTGGAGCATCGACCTAAATATATTTATATATCATTATGGTAGCATTTGCTACTACTCCTTCTCTATGGTGACGATACTCTTATGATACAGCCGGCTAGGCTGAGTTTTACTCTTAATAAGTCTAACGTGTGTATTGCGGAGGGTATGATATCCAACGGTAGTACCCTTGTAGGACTTACCTACGTGAGAGGAACCATGATGGCCGTGGTTAGGGGGGGCTGGACTAACCCCTAGAAACTCTCATGAGTCAGTTATTGTGAGCATGGCCTTTAACGCTCAACCCGCTTTGCTCAATAAATGAAAACGTATTGTTTGTGTTTTCGTCAATACCTGGTTAAAGGGGCCTAATTCAGGTCTAGTCTATTATGTCCCTCAGGTGGCGATGAACTCGCTAAGGAAAGGTTCAAAGCCGAAAGTTACCTCTTCCGAATTCTCGATATGAAAGGTTTCCTAACCTATATTTGTTTTGTGATTTATTGTTTTGTTTATTGATTTTGAGTTTTCAGTCAATATTGTCGGGCCGGGGGGGGGGCTGTTGGATATTTTATTAGAGAAAATATAATTTTACCTTCATGAATAGTCCCACATGGAATAGTGTTATGAATACAATTAAAACGTGCGTAATGGCTATATATTGTGGGGAACGTTACGAAAATTTATGACGAACGTTATCATATTAATTGTAGTAATTATAATGGCTTTCTCAACCCTATATATACACCCCCCGTATTCACTTTCGGAAAAGATATAGAAATAATTCTTTTTTTTTTCCTCTTCTCTCCTCTGCATATTATTTTTGTTCATATGTTGGTGTTATTTTTGGGCAACCGTTCTTTGTCTGAGCTGAAGCTCTG